TATAGATCACCCACAAACGTGTAAAGAGATTCGTAAGAAAAAAAGGACCACTTTAGCAGTTGAACTCAAGAAAAACATTTGTATGGTTTTTGTGTACATAATATTTAATATTTTATGCCAATATCTGAAGCTACTACGAAATTTAAATAACATTACTGTAATTTGTGGCAAAACATTAAGCATCATAATTTTGTGCCGTACTTCTGAAAGAGAGAACTTAAATCTCTACGCCCATCTTTATTTATTATAAATTTAAAAACGCTTAATTATGATGTGAAGTATCCAAATCTTGCACACCGTTGGATCTTCTTGTTTATCATTCGCCACCAAAGTATTGCAACATTGTCAAAAGTGTACCAGACTAAAGATAACACGATACATATTAACCAATAAAGAAATAAATGATAAATGAGATTTTACTGCTAACTATCTATATTTAAAACTAATATATATTTTTAATTGTGGGTAAATGGTTGACTGTCGTGAATAATGAAGAGAAGAATAGTTGGGGTGATCAGTCAAATAAGAAGGCAAAAATAAATGATAATATTTATTTTGACATTTGCCGACGTTTCGACGAGAAGTTCAGGCCTTCATCAGGGCAGACTCCAAAGGTGTAAATCGGAGCAATGCAATGTAGTAATTAGTAGTAATAATAAATGCAGTATAGAATATACATTGCATTGCTCCGATTTACACCTTTGGAGTCAGCCCTGATGAAGGCCTGAACTTCAGGTCGAAACGTCGGCAAATGTCAAAATAAATATTATCATTTATTTTTGCCTTCTTATTTGACTGATCACCCTAACTATTCTTCTATTCATTAATATATATTTCGTTTCATCCTTATTCTAATATATATATATATATATATGTATATATATATATATATATATATATATATATATATATATATATATATATATAAATCAACCCATGTTTTTTTTCTTCATTTAAATAATGTTTTGTCTTTTTTCAAAATAGTGTTATTTTAATTTTATTTTTTATATAAATTAGGCCAATTATCACCAAAATTTTATTGATAAGCTATTAATTACGACGTTTCGACCATACTAAGGGCAATCTTCAAGTTTTGATGAGTCCTCCGTTATATATTCATTATTAATGTAGCAATAATTTGTTCAGTGAACATTAAATTGTCCTGCTGTTTAGCGGTTTCGCCTATGCCATTTCTGGAGGGACTCAATTTGTAGGGAAACCTCAAGACACCAATTTTAGGAAAAATGAACAGAAGTTATTTTTATTTGTTCTAGTATATTTTTACTGAAGATATTGTATATATTCTTTAATGTTGGTTAATGTCATTTTTTGGCCAGATGTAGTTTTTATTTTTTTTTTCATAACTGTTATTCATAAGGGACCTCGTCCCAGAATAAAACTTATTATATATATATATATATATATATATATATATATATATATATATATATTTTATATTTTATATATATATATATATATATATATATATATATATATATATATATATATATATTAATCTCAAATATATTTTTTATTATAATGGTGTCTATTAGTGTGATTCCAAGAATTAGAAATGTCCAGAAATCTGCTTCAAAACATTTTCTAACAATAAAGTTTATAAATTTACGCACGCTTATATTCAAAACTAAAATCCGACGACTGTGCTCCTAATTGCCCCCAGGAGATCTAATTACCTGGGGTTGAGCTATAGTTAGCAGACAAGAGATCTGATAAGATTTTGAGGCAAATCGACCGGGCTTGCTAACAGGCTACTAATCAACTGATCTATATCTATCCGGCAGCTGCCACTGTCAATACTGGATAATTCCAACCACGGAAAAGGGCGGCTAACTTCGTTTCACTGGCAATTACGAAAAATATTTAGGTTGAACGTGGTCGAATTAAGTTTTACTATTATCGCCTACCGATGACCTGAGTACGTAGAACCAGGGGATGGAGTCTGCTTGAACTAGAGCAGGTAGATGATCTTTTGTCACACATAGCATGAGGAAGGGAGGCCAGTACACATCCGTACCTACTCTCAACTGCAAGTTTAAAGTTGTATTTTAATAAGATCTCAAATACTCAAAATACTTATTTCAGTGTTTTCTGAAATGCATGTAGTAACGGAAGATATTCAAGGAACTTATATGCCTTGTACTATAATATAATAAATTATAACACAATTGTTAATTATTTCCATACAGTTATAAATTAAATGTAACATTTCTATCATTGTAACAAAAATGAAAGGTTATTCCTAATGGCCTACATAATTTTTTTTCATCATAAACCTAAACCTTTCAACGGGAAATGTGGCGAGTAACATCAGATGCTTCAAGGGAGGAGTCAAGATATATTTGTTGCCAACAGAAGAGGAACAACATACAATAAACCTCGAGAAGTAAATGTTGCCAGAACTCAAAATTTAATGGGACTTGAAGCATTGAAAGCTTACTCATTAATTACTACTACTACAGCCAGTGATAAAGAAACTGTTGAGACAATTTTAGATGTCTTAGAACAACATTCCATCCCTAAAAAGAATGAGGCAATGGAAGTTTTCCCCTCTATTTTGTATTTCTCTTTCATTTCATATGCTATTTAATTATAATTGTATTTATATTTTATTCTGTTTAAGTTTGTATAATTGGTCACTGTTTTAATTTTGTATTACTGAATTATGATTAATATTGAATCATTTCAATTTGTTTTAATTTTTTATTACAATAATATTGTAATTATGTTCCGTAACTTGACAGACTTGAACGGAGGGATGTTTGGATATTATAATGTATAAGATACTGTGGCAACAACTCTGTGTTGATTATAGTTGACTTGGATGTGAAGCCAGAGTCACATGTATATGCTACAGGCTAACAAAGTTGTTTACAACAATCGATTTTATAATTTAATAGCCAACTTAAAGAAACATTTGAAACAATAAGTCTTAATCACAGCCTGGATTTTTATGCTGTAGTATATTTTGTTAGTATTTAGTTTTCAAACTGCTGATCAAATATCTTTACGAATCACCGTATCAAAGTGCATTTATTTTTTTTTTAGGAGGAGAGTGGGGTGTTTTTGAGATAAACTCTATATAGCTCCACATTCCAATTATTTCAAACTAAATAATAATAATAATTAGAAATAAAAACGCAACATTGAATATGAAATTCCATATTGATGGAAATTCGTCTGCTCTCTTACTAGGGGTAATAAACGCGTTTTAAACCGAAATTGAGAATCATCATCAGCGCATGAAACGTGTTTAAGTACTTGTGCATAAATATAGCATCCATAAAATTCAATACTATATGGTTGGGAGGTCAATGTCCAAAAAACAAAGTAAGCCTATCCTTCTGAAATTGACTTCTTAAAATATATTTATATTTTTATTTCCTAGTTTTTATTTCAGCTTCTTATTCATTTTAAACTTTAAATTCTAATACTTTTAATTCCTTTTGGACATCACACTCAATTGCTTACTAACATTGTTTGTTGTTTTATATTGTTAGAGACTTAACATGGACAAATTCTTGTCTTTATTCTAAAAAGGCGAGTAAATCATCGTTTACGAAAAAAAAAGGAAAAGATGTATGAAAATTTCTTACCTTTCTCTTTTGAACAAATTAGCAAAACTTCAGTAGAATACATAGGTAAGGTATAAGTACTCTTTCTCCAAACTCTAATAAACTTTGGCAATGGTTCTTTAGTCCCAAAATCTAGTTCAAAAGGTCTCTAAGGCCTATATAGTTTCTCGATATCAGAGATGGGAAAAATACTATTCATGGCAGAAAAAATATTTATTCTGTTTTATAGGTCATGGGGCGACCCTAGGGTAAGGAGACCCTCGTGAGGCACACCCAGCATCTACATAGTGGGCACGCTTAATTAAAATAATTAATTAAGAGGGGAAAACTTTGTGATTGAGCGTGATCCTGGGCCAATCTACCCCTGCACAATCGTTGGCCTTGAAACAGTACTTTCCCTAAATAGTAGTGAAACAAAAACCTTTCATGGGTTTTAGTGGCACAGTTTTATATATATATATTAAAACAATGTTTTTTTTTTCTTTATTATTGAAATTTACAACTGTATTAAATGACAAATACAACAAGTAAACATGAAATAAGTAACATGACAAGTACAAGAGAAACTACCCATTGGTAGCACTCCATATGTTTAGCTTAATTTTTTTAAAATATTTTATTTAAGTTATTTATATTCTTACTACATATGCTGTGAATAAATTCTTTATCATCCTTTATCAACATCCTTTCTTGTGAGAGTACATAATATTAATGAACAAAAACTGTTTCATTGGTTTAAAATTTCGATAGGTACAGCAATATTAGTTTAAATGTTCTATTCTTCAAAACATTATTTTTATAGCTTATGTAAATATTTATTAAATAATTGACTTAGAAAAAAATCTCAAGATATATTTTCATATTAATAAGATTAATAATCATATTTCGTATCTAACATTAAAATAATGATAAAAAGAAATGTAAACCTTATGGGAGCCCTCCTGTTATATTTTAATATGTTATTTATTGAATCTCTAAGTACTTGAAGTCAAATTAAGGAACTAATGTAATAATAACTTGAAGTAATGTTTTTTTGTCGTTGTAGAGGGTCATATTAAAAGTCAGCATTAATAACTAATCCTGAGTAAGAAAGAAAAAAATACGAAAAAAAATGGACTGGAAACAGAATCGCAAAGAAAATTGGAAAAAAACTAACTATACTCTTATTGCGTGGCAATAAAGGAGGACAGAGGAAAATATACTGGCCATAAAAAAGGGCTTAAAGGAATTCTCAAGGAAGAAGAAAGGAGCACTGCCGTCGAACTTAACGAGGAACGGACGGAAACGTTTCACACAGGCCCCAGGACGGATGATAATTATCTAAAAAGAGAGTTGTTAAAGTAATCACTCAAGATGGAGGCAGACTGTTTAGCTATTTTTCGAGCCTCTCCGGTTATCTAATTAAAAATGAGCTGGTTTCAGAAGAGGAGAATTCAAAAAGCCACTCCAGGGGCCACTGGAATCCAGATTCTGGAACGTGGACCATCCCTATCTTACCTCACACCATCATCTGTACCATCACTCGAGGCGTATATCATGTCCTGCGGCGATAGGATAAGTAGGAGATCAGGCAGTTGGACAATAACTATCTTCACAGGGTCTGCGTTTGAGGTGTAATTTTAAGACGTTGACAAATAATCCATTTCAAACTCCTGATATGTTATTTTGTGATACTATCAGACACAAGGATTAGAAAGTTTCGGTATAACAGGATCTATGAAAGGATGAAAATATCTGGTAAATATCCCGTATAAATCTCAAACGTTACGGAATTTAATATTAATAAATGAATTTATTCATAAAAATGAAGAGCGTACAAGAGTACAAAAAAATATTGTTTAAAACAGTTTGAATATAAGATATAGTTAACGATTTTTTATACATATTCAAGAATGAAAAAATAAAATTTTAAGTTATGATAACAACCACAGTTTCATGTTCAAGTTAAAAAAACTAAACAAGGTGCTTTGTTAAAACCAATACTTGCACATACAAGGAAAAAGTTAGACATGGCACAGAGTCTAAAACAAAATCTACAAGACAGTGAAAGTGCAGTCAAAAAAACTTTAAGGTTTTTAAAAGAGATAAAACTCTACAACAGAGTATAATTTAAAGGCGTTGCCAATGACCCTACCGGGTAGAGGCAACAAAATATCAAATAAATAAATAAAACCAGTACTTAACGAATACTACTCTTCCAAGCAAAAATTCATATTTGTGCTAAATGTCACAAACATATTCTTGTTAATCAGACAACGTACACCTGAATTGAAATTAATACTGAAAAAATGATTTTAATTATAAAGTCCCTTTCAATAACAAATTAGTACAAAGATTAAAAGACACTTATAAATCTAGCAGATAATAATGTTATATTATTTATAAAACCAAATTATTTAGGAAATTTAGAAAAGAATAAAAATACAATGAAACATTTTAACTATTCCAAAATAACCACAGGTTTATTTGATAACTTCGGTGTAAAAATTCGACTAGAACAACCTGGTAATGGCTATATGAAAAAGAACTCTCTTAATAAAAATATTGAAGTGACAAATACAAACCCAAAATTACGTATGAATCTAAGACCGATAAAATTAGATAAAAAGAAATTGTAAATTTAAAAATTAATCTAACATAAGAATGTAGGATAATGCAAAGTAATGCAGGGTAAGTAGGAGGATATGGGTCAATTTTATTTCAGATAATTTAAGATTAAATAAAATTAGTAGTTTAGCCATTTTAATATGAATAATTTAAATTAATAAATAATGCATTAATGAATAATTATATAAATACCCACTGCATAACAGAAAATTAAAAAAACAATGACAATTTATAAAAATCTTTAAAGTACAATTTAAGAGAAAATGAGATATAATGAGGATGAGGTAAAGTATGATGAATTATTTTTTTAATGAAAAATCAAGTAAAGTACACACAAGTATTATTAATATAGTTTAATAGATAGTACAGATTTTTAGAAATGTATGATTAAAACAAAACCGTTGAATATTAATAACAAATAAAAGTTAGTAAGATTATACGATTATCGTTAACTTTTTTTATTTAATTTTAAACTCTGAAAATATTATTTTGTTTTTTCTTATTCCGATTATTTTGTTCTACTCTACAAAAAAAAAATACTAGTTATAATTTTTTTTTTCTAAATATATACACGTGAGAGTTCTTAGTTTCAAGAAAAAAAATTAACATTTTTTTAAAAATAATTATTGTTCAAAATAATATAATAAAGATGTTATGTAATTAGGGGTTTTCTGACAATTTAAAAAAACCGTTTTAGTTCAAAAAACTGCAAAGTGAGTTAACTGCAAATATACTCCTGGTCCGGCATTAAAGTCCTCCAGGGATGTGAATATAAAGTTGAAAAGAAGGAACAGTGGGAGCTGACAGATGTAGCAATTCTAGAGGTATCGCCAACTGAGGTCCAAGAACCAAGAGACATAATTCTTAGTGTGTCACTCTCCCAGGCATGCATTTTTTTCATCCCTCTCCCGCCCCCGTGGGAGACTTTAACGTCGCCGGGACAAAAGGACCAGGTAGAGCCTGGCCCCCCCTATTGACAACAATTTCATTCTAATTGCCCCCCTCACTCCCCTCCAATCCTATTATTGCCTTCAATCAGCCTAACTTTAATCCGGATTAGAAGGACTGCCTGCCATTTTAAATTTTTATACAGCTTATTTTAGGAGCAATACAAATAAACAGCTGGTGCGAGTGGACTTCATCGAGGGGAGCACTCTTTATAACGGTGACGATTTTTTCCCCTTGTCTTTTTTTTTTTTTTATTAGAGTAGGGCTAGACAAATCTTTTATTTATTATATCTGTCCCCTCGTCTGTCACAGTTAGCTACTTTCTACATTTTACGTTCTACTGTTTCTAAATGGGCGAATCCACAGTTCTTTAACAATCAATTTCTGGGTCGTAACTCATAGGATGAATTTACATAAATTTCGGGAGATATGGTGCTGTCAGCAAACAGTAAACAAATTTTTCTGACTTTATTCCCCAACAACTTTTTCTCTGATTATTTCAAGGCAAAGATATCTCCACCATTAAACAAATATAATAAATAAACAAATATATAACTAATGTAATTTGCATGGTACGAGACTTAAACAAATAGACATTAAAAATGATCGACAATCTGTTGCTTTACAAAAAAAAAAAATTATACAAATTTACAGTATATTTTAACACAATAGGATACTCTTGAAAACAATGATGTAATCAGTAAAATTTAGCTAGAACTAATATGCACGATACAATATTTATTAGAATAATTTTTGGATAACTACATCAAGAGATGAATGAATAGCTTAAATTTTAATTTCATACTTGTTGATTAAGTTACTTATCAATTTTTAAGAAATTATTTTATCATGAAATGGCACGCAACTTTGAATTAAAGTCTTCGGGCTTACGATGACCAGACCCGTTGTGACTTCAGTACTCGTCGAGCTGACACTGGCAGCCCAAGAGTGTTGAGAAGAATGAGGTGTGTGACTAACCAGGTGAACGTGGGTGTAGCGGGTGACCTTGCTGGAAGGTGCGCCCCTAGTGGCCACGATCCTAACAAGAGCCGAAGAGTGGGGGTAGCCGGGGGACAAGGCCATGCAGGCCGGATGGAGCTCAGTCAGAGTCGAGAGCCCGTCATGTGAGTGTCAGTGCGTCTCACGTTGGGATTAAGTGTTGAGAGTGTACATGAGTGAGTTGAGTGGTCTGCCGATGATATGGTGCTCTGATCTTCGAGATGCGAGCCCTCGTCTTCCCACTGCTCCTAGGAGCCGTCTTCGGAGTACTCACTGCCTCCCTTTCCAAGGCGCTTCGTTATCAAGCCCCCGACGAGTGCAAGTGGATGGCTGTCACCTCGGATGGCGAAGAAGAGGTGTCCACCGCTACCGAACCCGACCAGGAGGTAGCCCTTATTTGCCGACTTAAGACAATTAATTCGGAATTAGAAAATACAAATTTTTCAGTGATTCAAGCGCAGTATACAGTGCGGCTAAGGATATTTTGTGCCGAACAATTATATTTTCACAGTTCCCTGACACCAGGGAGCCTACAGACTCTGACAGATCTGAAAGATCTCTCGATAGAGTACTGTAAGATTGCCAACTTGACAGCGGGAGCTTTTCGCGGCCTGCGACAGCTTCGAAATCTGACACTGAGGACCCACAACAACGATTGGTCCCCAGTCTCATTGGATATATACAACGGAGTCTTTGCTGAAGACCTAGGTTTATTAGAAAGATTAGATCTCAGTATGAACAATATTTGGAGCCTCCCAGAAGCTCTGTTTTGCCCGTTGCACAGTTTACAGTTCCTCAATTTAACCAGAAACAGGCTGAGGGATATATCTTCTCTTCGATTTGGGAATTCAGGACATAGATGTGGCCTCAATCTGAGAACACTGGACTTATCGAATAACAGTATCGATTCTTTGCCTGCATCTGGTTTCACATCGCTAGGTAGGCTACTAGAAATGCATTTAGAAAGTAATGTGATAACATTTATGGCCGATCATGCTTTAGATGGTCTGACATCGCTAACATACTTGAACCTCGCGGATAATAAACTAGTCAATTTGCCACCAGAAATATTCGCCGATACACGTGAGTTAAAAGAACTTCATCTTCAAAACAATTCTATAAACGTTCTTGCACCAGGTCTTTTCAATGGACTTAGTAATTTACTAGTTTTAGATTTATCAGAAAACGAACTGACTGAAGAGTGGATTAACGGTGCAACTTTTTCCGGTCTTTTGAGGCTTGTAATATTAAGTATTTCAGGAAACAAACTAGTGAAACTAGAAACTTCAGTGTTTAGAGACTTGTACAGTTTACAAGTACTGAGGCTAGAAGATAACGCCATAGAATATATAGCCGATAACACATTCGTCTCGCTGAACAACCTGCATACGCTGTCTCTTTCTAATAATAAACTGACGAGGATAGACAGCAACACACTTAGTGGCCTTTATGTACTAAACGTCCTTTCACTAGACAGCAACGCTATTCAATACATCGACCCGGAAGCATTAAGAAATTCTACTAACCTTCAAGATCTTCACCTCAATAGCAACAAACTCTACGATGTGCCCGCGGTTCTATCAGACGTTCCTCATTTAAAAACCCTTGACCTGGGTGATAACATGATTACAGAACTCTTTAATACTTCATTCGCACACATGCAAGAACTGGTCGGTCTGAGGTTGACTGAAAATAATTTGACAAATATAAATAAAGGTGTTTTCGATAAGATGGCTTCTTTGAGAATACTGAATCTTTCAAGTAATAAATTACAACGAGTAGAAAACGGAACTTTCGATGAAAACAAAAATCTCCTCGCCGTGCGTTTGGACGGCAACTACCTCACCGAAATCAATGGACTTTTTGCTAAACTTCCAAATTTAGTTTGGTTAAATATATCAGAAAATTTATTACATGTTTTCGACTACGCTTACATACCAACAGGACTTCAGTGGCTAGACATTCACAGCAATCAAATAACAGAACTGGGAAATTATTTCGAAATCGAAAGTCAACTTCATTTGACCATGTTCGATGCAAGTAGCAATAAATTGACTGAGATTACTGGTAATGCTATTCCCGATAGTGTAGAAATATTAAATTTATCCAATAATTTAATATCAAAAGTTCAATCGTATACATTTTTCAAGAAGCCTAATTTGACCAGGGTTGACTTAGTAGGGAATCAAATAAAAATTGTTTCACAGAATTCTTTAAGAATTTCAACAATACCTCTGGGAAAACCATTACCCGAATTTTACATAGGAAACAATCCGTTCCAGTGCGACTGTACAATGCAGTGGCTGCAGCAATACCCCGGCGAATTGAAGGAGAGAAACAAACCACAGCTGATGGACCTTGACTCAGTTGTTTGTAAACTGCTTTACAATAGGGTAAGCTCTTATGTATTACTGAAAGAAGCTTCTCCAGACCAATTCCTCTGCCAGTATACAGCTAACTGTTTTCCTTTCTGCCACTGTTGTGACTTCGACGCTTGTGATTGTGAAATGACCTGCCCTACTAACTGTACATGTTACCATGACCTGTCATGGTCGGCCAATGTCGTAGACTGTTCCAATGCCGGCTATGTTGACAGCCTACCTGAAAGAATTCCAATGGAATCGACACAGCTTTATTTGGACGGCAACGACATCAGAGTAATAGGCAGCCACAGTTTCATCGGTAGGAAGAAGCTCCAGGTTCTGTTTCTGAATTCTTCTAATATCGATATTATTCACAATAGAACTTTTAACGGCCTAAAAGATCTAGAACTCCTGCGGTTGGACAACAACAAAATAAAGGAACTCAATGGCTACGAATTCACAGGCCTAGTGAGTCTGAGGGAATTGTATCTTCAGTACAACCACATATCTACTATTCACAATTCTACCTTCACGGCGCTGACGCAGCTCCGAATTCTCAGGCTCGATCACAATAGGCTATTCAAATACTCCGTCTGGCAGCTGTCATCACAGATTACACGCCTCAGCATTGGAGTCAATCCCTGGTCATGTGACTGTGAGTATACTCAGAGGTTTAAAGAATACTTAATATATAGTAGTAGTGCCATAGCTGACATTGAACAAGTGCGCTGTTATAACGGGACGGAATATGAAACAGGTTATTCTATTCTCAAGGACAATATAACATGTGTGGAAGAAAATATAAGTAATTTTATTGAGACTCCATTGAATGGAAGTTATACTTCAACGACAATTATTCATCGCCAGGAGTTACAGGACTACATTCCGCTTTTAGTAGCTACTTTAGCCATTTTCTTTGCAATTATGGTTTTTTCGTGTCTTTTGTTTATGTACAGGCAAGAGATGCGAGTTTGGCTGCATTCCAAGTTCGGGGTGAGGCTGTTTTACAGGACAACAGACATCGAGCTGGACGATCGCGACAAGTTATTCGACGCGTTCGTGAGCTATAGCGCCAAGGATGAGGCGTTTGTGGCGGAGGAACTGGCGCCGATGTTGGAGAACGGAGATCCACCTTACAAACTCTGCCTCCACTACAGAGAGTTCCCGGTTGGCGGTTTTTTAGCCGACACGATCGTCCAAGCTGTAGAATCTTCACGACGGACGATCATGGTGCTCTCGGAGAACTTTATCAAGTCGGAGTGGTGCCGATTCGAGTTCAAATCCGCACATCACCAGGTGCTTCGGGACAGGCGGAAGAGGCTGATCGTCATAGTGCTGGGTGAGGTGCCGCAGAAGGACTTGGATCCAGACATCCGATTGTACCTCAAGACGAACACATATCTTCAGTGGGGCGACAAACTGTTTTGGGAGAAACTCAAGTTTGCCCTGCCGGACGTTCCGAACAACCAGAGAGGACCGAAGGGTGGACACCACACCGCTGGCCGGCATCACCACGTCCACCGCAACAACGCCAGGTCGGTTGCCATTCATATATAAAGTGAGTTCTGTGATAAAAATAAGTGTTTACACTTCAAGAGACTGTATAAATGTAAAATCCTATTTAAATGTAAATTATGTATATTTGAACTTGTATATAGTCATAACGGAATTAAATCAAGTCACTAAAGTGTAAATTTTAATGCCAGATTATTTATTTGCGTGGTGCTATCTGGATATGTATACAATTTTTGTTAGAATTTTTTATATATTTACTATATTATGTAAATTGCTTTGTATAGATTGTAAATTTATTGTTGCTATATATTTCCACCAGAAACGACTGAATAAGAGATTGTGTGATATATTAATAAGTTTAGAATTTTTGTAATTTTATAATGTATATTTGAAATCGCAATCAAGGGATGTTAGTGATAAAAAATAAATCCCAATTTTACAATTTAAACCAATGACTTTTATTTAAAATATCCAAATTCTAATCTATTAACATGTAGAAATTATTGAAAATCATTCATAATGAAATAGCATAATAAAAAGGTTTATGAGCTTAAGAAGTAAACAAGTAATTAGAAATGGTTGGTACAGAACAAAATGAGTAAAATGTCAGATGAAGAATGAGAATTTAAAAAACAAAACAAAAGATAACTAATGGTTTTATACTTTATTGGAGAATTAAACATAAATACAGGTTTTATTTAGTATATATTACATAATGCATATTTTATATTACATAATACACATCATGTCCAATGATACATGAGGGTTAAGAAATGATAAAAAAATTCTCCGTAGTAATAAAAAAACATAGTATTTTTTTTTATGTATTACATTAAAATATTCAAGAAATTACTTAATAATAAACCGATTAAATCTAGAGATATTGACGGAGGAACTGAATACATCAGGCTAACTATGTAAATATAATTGCAACCTCAAAATTTGAGAAAAAATATTAATAAAGATTACTAGGTTGGTTTTCTGTGGTATTACTAAATTTTTATAAGAATACACAACCACAATAAAACATTTGACAAGAGGACTTTTTAATGTAATACAGAAAAAAATTACATTCAAAAAATTTTATAGAAAGTAATTGAACAAATCAGGAAGTACAATTATTATTTATATTCAGATTCAAAAGTAAAAATATTAATTAAAGTGAAGATTAAAATAATATTGACATTATGTGGCTAAGAAATTAACATATTTACTACATGGATACATAGTTTTATTTATAATTAAATTCTATTGATTACCTTAATATAAAAATTTATTTATATCACAAGTAAACAAAACAAATATCTTTCCAATAGAACTTAGATTTGTCGATACCATAACTCAAAAGAACACGCTGCCGTTTAATATTAATATAATTCACAAAAAAAGAGCGACATGAAGCACATCATTAACTTCATTAAAATCATTAATTGCTTCTTCATTTTACTGATAAAATATCAAATTTTAAATTAACAATTAACGCTTTGAGTAAAAACTTCATACGGATATATATTAATTAATTTAAAAGAGCAGAGAAAAGAAATGTAAATTTCCATGTAAATACTATTATTTTTTTTTTAATTTAATGTATATATCATCACAAATGAAGAATAAAAAAAAATGTTTAGAAATGTTATATATAAATCTGAAATCAGAACTTTTTGATTGCTGGTTAAAGATACGATTATTTAATATAAAAAAAGTAATTTTATATTAAATTTACCTAATGTTTAAAATCCATTTTATCAATTTTTTGTTATTGTTTTGTTCATTTTTGTTTTATGTTCATCAACGCTTAATCAAATATTTCCATACTAACCAGTTACATTTTATTCATTTATGAATCCTGGCGATATGTTATCCAAAAAAAACATGACGAGCTAAAAATCTATATTGACTGCAATATAATGCTGTTAACATGCACTTATAATATTTTTATAGTGGTTAGAAATCTTTTTTTATCAACAAAAATATAAAACAATATAAATTAATCAAGATAAAAAAGTGGCTGAATTTTTTAATCATTAAAAGGTTTTAGGAAATATGATATAAATCTATTTTGCTGAAGATAAAGTTTTTAATGATGAAAGAAAACCGTATCTTACACCGTATGCTGCAAAGTTAATAAGATGCTATAATTAATATTATAAATAAATTACTATTTAGATAAATAAATAAAAAAGTTTTAAAATCTCAACTAAAAAATTCCTATACATAAATATTTTTCAGCCATCAGCCGAAAGGTCAGTTTTTGAAATTTTAAACCAATGTTTCCTATATACAAAAATTATAATAAACAGGTTGATTTATACAGCAGTATATAATACATACAAACAGATATACTGAAATAAATATAAATAGCCTAGAAATAATGTAAGAACCAAACATAATAAATTGCTTGATGAGGTCAATGAAATTAGTTGTGTCGATATCTTCATACCAGGTTTCTTCTCTGTATGTACCTATGGTGATATGTTAGTGGTGGTATTCAATTTTTCTTTCTCTGATTCTAAAGTACTCAGAGTTAGAATAGGGTTTATTCGTTATTGAAAAAACAGGGTATCAAACCAAGAAGTAGCAAATTGCTCATCAAACTCTGTTGTGATAAATCATATAAGGTTGAACAAAATTTATATTGTCATCTGTTAATCAATCGATAACTTAACTTCTTGTGATTTAGTGAAGCCTCAAGTATGGTTATTATAAACATAATAACATAAATAAATGGTTTTGTTATGATATACAGTGAAAAAATAAATAAATTTAGCTTGTTTTGATCTTTGGGGAATCTAAGGTTTCGTGTACTCTTCCATCTAGGGATATCCAGGTAACGACCACTACTTAGAGACGCAGGAAACCCATGGCGGGGCTAATGAGAAATGAAATACTCAATAATATCGGCGACTACCGACTACAAAAGGAAGCCGATAAAGGAGAAGCAAGGAGAGAATGAGGGACTCCTCCCCCGGTAATATATGATGGGGTATAGAAATCACGACTCCGGGGCATGATACAGTCTAATCGGCATTATAAAATACCAATGTAGTTAGAGCGGTTCCTCGGGCGAACCTGTTATTTGGGACCCAAATCACCGCCAGCAAACGCCTCAATTAAAACTTCAACCGGTCTAAAAAGATGATAACGACAGAGTACGTTGTAAACTCGTTCGTGTAATAATTATCGTTGGGGCTTTAGGAGAGAAAACTAGGAACCCACTTTTAGTTTACGTTAAACGGTCTTAGGTATATATTTCATTTACCTCTCTTCCTTTTTTTTTCCTCCGTTTTATTATTACCTAGTAAAGAGGGTAGTCCAAGAAGGGAAGTTATACTCGTAAAGAACTATTCGAACAGTAAAATACCGATTAAGGAATAGTTGTCTCTAAATGCTACCAACGATAAGCGTTTATTTACTTCTTAAAATATTCAGCTACCTTACATAGATAGATAAAAAAAAAAATTCTAACATTTTAAGTACCTTTTTAACAAAATATACATAATGTTAATACATAAAGTAAATTAATTAAATACATTTTAACAACTATTAATTGAAATATACTAATTAGTGAATTTTTTAAAAATTATTTGTATACAAATATATTACAAACTTGCCACAATTAGCCAATGAGTAATAATAATTAATAGGGGCTGAAACCTTTACTTAAAAGTTATTACGAGAAAAAAATTCTGGTTCCGAAATCACACCAAAAATTGAAAATAATGATTCAAGCGATACTGAAATTGATTTAAAATAAAAATATCATTTTAGCACAGACTTTTAAAGCATTCTATAAGAAAAAAAAACGGCTGAAAATTATTTCACAATGGTTTATTATTTCCAAACAATTAAACATCTAAAGTAACATTACCTCCCTAGTGAGAAATAAAAAGAAATAAAAGGTAACTCCAATTATTCGACTAAACTTTTTTCATTTAATCATTAGTAATATGCTAAAAAAATTAGCATTACTTCAGTAACACATTCAAAAATCAAAAACCAAAACAAAGGAAATAACCTTTGTAGTATAATATATAAAAAACATATAAAGACCACATCTTTGTCCCTAATTGTCCGATTTTAACGATTGTTTGTTTTTTTTTTTTTTGTTTTTTATGAAATTCCGTAAACTTTTAAATAAAAATATATATAAAAAAGTGTATACTTTTTGAGTTATTCGGAATCTAATTTTACCATCTCTTGTAACTTTTTCCAGCTTCTTTTCGTTGAAGTAGGTCATATAGATAAATTTAAAGGGCATCGAGAAGAAGACTTTAGCGAAGTTTAATTGAAATTGGTAGATTCGTTTAAGCGCTACAGCAACGTAGGTTTTTCGGTCGCCATCTTGATAGGAAAATGCGGATAGAAATATTGATAAAGGAAGAAAATCCTCGGGTGACATCTAATTTTAAATCTAAATTTGAAAAAAAAAAAATCGGTTCAGTAGCTATGGAAAAATTGCGCGGACGCCGGACAGCAGACGGACAAAAAATATTTTTATTCGTTTTTCGAATTCTACGTATATTGAAACGTGTAACCTCAAATATTGAGAGGGAGTTAAGTTTTTGTACGATCACAATGGTTCATATTTGGAAATAATAAACAAAAAAAATCAATTGTTTTCATTGACAAATATTTTTTTAAATGATATAGTTTATGTGTAGTTTAAAAAAAATAAATAAATATGATGGTTCAGCCATACGTATTTTCAACTAATATACGTTTCTAAGAACTTTAAGCTCATAAAATATTAAAATAATAAATTTCTACATGTAACAATGGCTCTAATTAAGAGCGGTTACTGGCCAACATGCAAATGCCCGGAGCATCCAAGACAAATTGCCTTCCAACTTATATATATTATATATGATAATGTTAATTTTTGAACGAAATAAAAGTCGGTCACTCTAATTCACATTTAAGTTTTATATAATATTTATATAACTCTAATATTAAGTTATACGCCTAGGAGGTTATTTTTTGTTTAAGATCCAATTTTATTTTATTAGTCTCAGTAAAATAGAATTTCCATTGGCAAGTCTTAA